ACAGCTGGAATTGTCCGCTATTTTTTTCTAGTATCATGTTCAATGTAGCTCGGTTCAACATACTAGATTAAGAAATCATAAGTATACTAACTGGTGACACTGGAAATGAAAACTTCTGTAAAAATCGTAATTCAATATTCATTATTATTATTATTCATTTATAAAAGAAGTGAAACAATATTCGAATGTGAACATTAAAAATCTTGCGGTTAACGTCAGTCAGCTCTCATGACATAGACAAGAATAAATATAAAAAAAACATGAGAAAATATCATTTTGATGTAAAAACACAACAGCATAGAATTACATAAACGTTCTGGAGTGTTACACAACATTATTTTTATTTGATTAATTGTCAAATACTTCAGAAAGTTCCAACCGACCATCAAGAAGCTTATTTTTTATAGAACTTTATTCAATAATACATCCTTAAGAGTACAGTAGTGCAGGAATAATAAAAGGAAAGCAATCGCAGAGAATTTTAAGTCGATTCATAGCTAATCAGAAAACAACTTTTGAAGATCGATAAATAATGAAAAAAACAATTGTATTACAAAGTGTGAACGGATGCTATTTTATTAATGAATCTTTTATATGTTACTCTGCCTGTCAACTGAGAAAACATTGATATATGAATTTTTCCTAACAGATATAGATTGTTTCCTTGAACTCCCACGGGGACTTAAACAGACCTCCAAGATTCGCCGCCTCCTTATTTTGTTAGAATTAGACATTTAGGGTGAATATTTGAGGTTTACTTTTAGGGGTTTTCATCACGAACTGATATAATTTATAAGATAGAAACACTTTGCGGCCACAGAGACGAATAAATTTCATAGGAAAATCCAAGAAGCCCAGAATTAATTCAATTGGCTTGTATAAAGAGCATAGTGAATACATATTATTGTTTGTCTCAGGAATAAGGGTTTAGTGTTAGAATTTGGACAGAATGTTGACTTTCTTATTACTTACACTCTACATAGAAATAACTGGGCATCTGATAAGCAAAAATCTATGAATCATTATCTCGATGCTGATCGTCTATACTTTTAGTTTTTTTTACTAGTTCGAATTTTATATTGGTAACAAGCGCATCTATCTATCTATCTATCTATCTATCTATATATATATATATATATATATATATATGTATATATATATATATAGAGAGAGAGAGAGGGAGAGAGAGAGAAAGAGAGGGAGGGAGAGCAGATAACATGCTTTTATTTGGAAATTAATTTAAAATTAACAAGTACAGTTTATTGTTACTTTCATCACTTTTTTTCAATTCCATTTCATAAAATGTGACTGGCTAAATGAATTTTATGAGTTATGAATTACGTTGATGAAAATGCTACTCATATTGTTATTGTTTCGACTGAAATTGGATATTTAATTTATTAACTAAGACTAATCTATAAATAAGTATCATACAATTACGTGATGTTACTAATTGTCTTGCGGATACTGAAAAATTATTGATAAGTGATTCATACAACTCTAGCCAATCATCACACTTGATAGAATTCCAAAAATCAATGTATTTACACATTACGTTAATCTGATTGGTCAAAATTCGAGTAAATCTTTTACAATTTTTGGGGGTTCAAAAATCATTTGACAACAAGTAGATAATCATTGGATTATGCACCTTGTATATGTCATCAGTAATGTTTCGACTATACGCTCACCATGATTTATAAAGTGGTATGATATGATGAGTCGGATACGAGTGAAATATCACAAAGAATAATAATTCATCACATTTAATACATTTTATAACTATTATTGACAGGTTTAGTGAAAATGAGCTTAATCTGTAAATGATTTACATGACTAATACCCATATCACGATAAAATAGTTGATCAGTACTGCATGTTCTTGAGTAGTTGTTTAGTTACAAATGCCTCATGATTTAAATTTAACGTAGTATTTTAAAGAAATTGATAAGTGCTAAAGCGAGATTCTTCTTACTTTGATTATGTTTACATATCAGGAAACTGTATGGGTGCTGAGTGATTATGTCGCTCTGTCGCCCCATATATATATGTCTAAAAGTATCAACGCTCAAAATTGCATTGTCACTGAGTCACCCACGGACAAATGCAAATGAATTATAATATTTGAGCACTCAGTCAACGTTGGTTACTTTAGAAATAAAATTAATTGTCAGATACGAAATTAAATCTGTTAGTTAAGATTAAGTGAACTGAACACGTAATTGTTATTTGACCACTACGTATATAAAAAAAATGACAGAACAATTTCACTGAAAAAAACAATGTTATAAGAAAGTAAGGAGATATTACGTAAGTATTGAATTTTGGTGTACTATCATGTCTATTATTGATTATAAATCGCTTGATTTATAAATGATATTAAAATATATAAGTCAATTCACCGGTTACCTCAACGAGTTTGTAATTTGACCAAAGTTCATTAATAAATAAATTTCAGTAAATAGTTCGTTAACAAAATATTAAAACAAATGAAAACTTTACTAATAAATTATTTATCAAATATCATGGGTAAATACTGTGAATGTAAGTGTTGAAACAATAAAAAAGGTCGATAAATTTGATACGAATAAATGCGAGAGGGTTCCTTACACTATTCCTACCTTAGACCACTTCAAATCTTGTGGTACTCTTGTCACCTACAGATCAATAAGTAAGAATCTAATAATCCCTTGATTAATAAAGCTAAACAATGTCCATATGTGAAAAATTTATCCACTCATTCTACTGGATTATATTTGGCTATTATTTTAAATTGGTTAAAGTTGGATCTGTAAATCGAAAAACAAGTTACAATTGTCAGTGATTGTTTGATGTACATAGAAATGATCAAAGATGTCCTACAATTTCTTAAATTCACTGAGTTTTAATTTCGTTTCCTTTGTAGTGAAAGCACACTGTATACGCGTTTCAAAATGAAATATTTGTGGAAAAGCATATTTCCTAAAGTTTAGGAAACTTTAGAGAGGATATCTTTCAAGATGATATATTATTCAGTTGTACTCAGAAATAATGATCATTTTGCGAAGAAAACCAATGTATTTTACTGAGTAATTAGGCTTTGTCTGTTTTGTGCGATAACCATTTCTCATATGCAACATCCATCACCAGATTATGTTCACCCCTTCGCAGAATAGTTAAAAATTTATTAGCCTTAGATCACAATTGACTGCTTCTAAGAGAAACATACTGTGGTGTATGCTACTCATGTCGACAGAATTCATAGTATGTAGTTTCAATCAGACGTGGAATACCTAGCAGCAGAAGAGTGACGAAATGAAATTGAAGGGAAAATGAATGTAAACAGGGAATAATTGTAATAGTAATGAAGGAACGATAACGTTTGAGACAATTGATGAAGAATTTGTAAATGAAGTATTTAACGCATGGTTTTTCACGTTTTACAAAAGAACTCCGTAATTTTGCATTGAATAATAGACTGGTTGTCCCCAAATGAGTTCTCTTCCATTACGATACTACACTGAAACGCAATACTACATCGACGAACACATGTTTTTTATTAAGTAAACATGTCAGTATTTACAAAATTCTGAAATATCTAGTTAGTTCCAAGCATACTTTCTCATTAATAATAACCAACATCAAGTTAGTATAAGAATCTGCTGAGAGTTTTTGAATTACAGTTACAATTTCATTACTAATGAGTGGTAACTGGAATGATGCCTGTTTGAATCGCATGAGAAATGAAAGCTCACATAGTATACCTTTCTGACCACTCCAGATTATTAACAAATCAAGATTCAGTGCAATATGTCGATTACCTTCAGCGATTGATTAATTACACATAATTCGGGGGATCTGATTTTACCTAGAGTTCATAGTGATGAATCGAATTTTATCACCACCGTGAATGCGACGATATGCCATCGATTCAATTAGTGGACATTTCCGTAGTTTTCTTTTGAATGAGTACCTAATACATGAAATAATTTTTCATTCAGTTAAATTCAACTTTCATTCGGGATACTGTAACCAATCGAGTCGGTTTTTCATCAGTGGTATTCAAAGATGGTTGCAGAATATCAAGAATTAGTTGAAGTTAGACACATAGACTATTGGACACCAATTCGTTGGTCAACAGGATAAGCGATCATCGCGAAACTGAAAACCCTTCGGTTTTGTTTCCGATGAGGTTATGACTATACACAGCTGGACGAAACGGCTGTTCAGTACCTACTGATTTTCAGTGATCCTCTGATTAAAATGAATTCGTAATATAAACCATAAAATGTAGTAATTGAGTAGGTTAAATAATTCAGCTCGTTTATCTTTGTTAAACTGTTTGATCATTATCATTAACGTCTGTCTAACTCATTCATTTACCTTAACATTAATATTATCATTAAGAAATAGACTTACCATATATTTATGCCTTATTGAGCCTTATTGACTAGATTAACACAACTTTTGAGTTTTAACATTAATTCATACTGTAAATAAATAAATAATATATTGGTAATTAATTTTGATTTGGTTATTTATTCTCTGAAGAAGTGGCTTACACTGAGTCACGAAACGTCAGAAAACCTAATTCTTCTACTCATTGGGATATTAAAAATATATTAATCTCTTTATAACAATCTAACCAATACTCATTGTATTCGAAATGATCAAATCCAACCTTGGTAACGTTACTACTAATTTATACTGTTTTGTTAATTCTTTCTTCAAATATTATTTTAAAAGTGTTTAGTCTTCACTATCACCATCATCATCATCATCATCATCATCATCATCATCATCATCATCATCATCATCATCATCATCATCATCATCATCATAGTTATACTGCAATGATTTCAATGGTAGATCATTTTCTCTAACTAATTTCCCAACTGTACTTTTAAAATGAAATATATATATCTCACTTATCGACTGACCAATCATGCTTTAGTGTGGGTGTATATATAAATATATATTTATTATATATTCTCTTAAATACAATTAAATTATAATTGAGATACAAGGTCAATTAAAAATTAGTAAATAGACTGAATTCAAATATAATTAAGTAATTTATTGAATTGGGAAAAGATAAAAATTAAAAAAAATAATAAAAACGAATAATAATGTGGAATATGTCAACAAACACGACAGTAATAAGTGAGTAGTATATTTTTTAAAGAAAAAAAGATACTCAATTGTTTATTTATTTATTTATTTATTGAATTCTGCAAGCTTATCTAATGATGTCTACAGAAAGGTTGTCATTTCTACAGAGGTGTTTGTTTTAATAATCTGTTATTTCATTACTGAACAGTTACAGGTTTGAAATAAACTTTTGAAAAGCAATAATTTATTCATTTATGTGTTGGTTGTTTGAATCTTCCCATTGACTTTTAGGACAGCGATTGATAGTTAGTGGTTATCTGAACTCAGTAGCTAAGTGGATCCCGGGATGGCGTTTGAAGTGAATGGTACTGGTTTTGATTCCCACAGTGAACATCGGCACTGGAATGTAGGTACTCCCAGCCGACGAGTTCCACATGGGACGAAACTCCCATCCTGGATTCCGCTGATAGCCATCACCCATCTCTGCCTAAAACAAAATAATGATTGATTCTAGGAACGAGATGTTGTGGCTTTGTTTCCTGTGTTGATTGCAACTTATTTTAAGTAGATGCAGCCATGGAGACACTTGTAAAACATCTTACTGTCGATTTTAAAATTGAATGAATTGTTGGATTCCTAACAGTGAATTTTAAAGTTAATGTGGTTTAATCTCTCAAACCTATTCATTTTTACAATTAGAAGAAAAATGATCACATTTTTTTGCATAAGTTTTGCTATCGTTCGAATATAATTTTAGAATATTAAAGATTCCCATTGTGAAACTTAGAACAACACATATAAGCGAACAGTTGTTTTCAATTAGACTGTCATCAAACTTTACTCTAATATGCATGAATATACATGTTAATTTTGTTTATAATCAATCTCATATTGAGTAGGTCTCAGCTCTAGATAAATTATTTTGAAAAAGTCAACTAAACTAACTTAAATAAGAATATATTATACTTTGTTTCATGTTATATGGTTGAAGAAAGAATTTCATGGTTGTCATGGATTTAAACTCTATGTAATCTACCATTTCTCATTAAAAAAGTGTTTAGAATATTGATAGTACCTGTTTTTATGAAGATATTTGAACTGTCACATTCATTCAAGACTGTTGAGCTTATTGCTGCTGGCATTAATTAGTATGCTATTGATGTTATTCTGTCACTGAAGAGTTTTTGAGTGTATAGTTCACAGTGGTGACAAGGTGGTATCAGTTTAATAAATTAATGAATTCGAACTCGTCTGAATAAAATTTTAAAAACCTCCATTCAAAAACTTATTTAATGTTTAACTGAGACTATAGTTTAATGTGTTTGGGCAATAATTATGAATAAAGAGGTTTGTGGAGATTGTATTATTTTAACAGTGAAATTCACTGGTCAATCTTAGCCAGACCATCATAGAACTTCTCAGCAGTGTGTATCCACGACTCTACATGTGGGATGTTAAGACGAAACGACCGTCCAATGTTTCCAGGTTTTCAAAGGTGGTCTAGCTAAGATCAACTTGTGAATTCAACAATTATGAAGTATGAAGTAAAGATTTTCTTTTTTTTTTTAAATTCTTTAATTGGCACTTTTCGTCAACGAAATTCTTAGAATTTTTTTTTAAAAAAGTGCTTAACATTTAACCAACTGTTCATTTGTTTATACCCTACAGTTTAATAAACAAAAGTTGATATTATGTTGAGAAAAAATCTTTATGTACAATTAAAAATGCATGAATCAAACGTGTAGGTGTGTGAAATAAACTTCATTTTTAAATTAGAACTTGATGTAAAGTTTGTTTGAATAAATTCAATCATGATGATTCACTATTTATATATTTATGCCAACAGATCTCTATATCAAACACATATCTTTTATTGGGGGCTCAAAAATTATTTGAATCACAATTGAAACACCAACTTACTAAAGCATTTAATATAGAACAGGTTGAAATGTCTACATACATCATTCTAGTATAAATTTAGTTGTTGGGGCTGCTAATTGGTTGGAAATGTTTGACACTGAACCTTGGAATGAATTTCAAACTTGTCGGTTTTCATCAGTCGGGGTACCTGAAATACTAAGAGAGTCGACACTCCCTGTGAATTTATATCCTATCCTTCTAGTCTCGGAGTCTGGGACTTTACCACTAAGCTCCTATAGGGTTCAGACACAAGTAACTGTTTGATCATAATATGTTACCTAATATCACGGGTGTTTACTCTTTTAGTACAAATCGAATCCTACTGATCAAGTGATCACTAGTCTAAATGACTAGACATAGCGTGCACTATATTGAAATTTTAGGTTTTTAGAGGCAATTAGCGAAAAATTCGATTGTCACTTTTTTGTGATCAAAATGCACTGTTGCAAATGACTTAATGTGGACTAACTTTAATAATTATAATGAATAATCGTTAGCAATACTTCAAATATTGTTAACTATTGAAGATATTAATCAGCTGTTTTAATCAAAATTTTTACCTTGACAGAGTGAAGTCCGAGTAAATTACTACCTACAAACTGAAGTACATTATATACCCATGTATATAGGTCACGGGATGAAAACAGTTTACATTTAAAGTTAAATATCCATGAATCATTGTTCCACAACAACAATTTACTGCCAAAATGAAAAAAAACTTTTTAATTTATTCACTGCACTGAATGATAGCTGTATTATTAGTAAAACGAATAATGAATTACGTAAACGTTTCAATCACTTGATCAACATAGGAAGAAGATCAAACTTGGGTAAATCGACTTTGAAACAATCATCACAAAAATTATTGAAGTTGCGTAATCTAAACTGTGTTAATAATATATAAGTCATGACCGGCCATGGATGGGACAGGGGTGCCGTGAATTTCTTCTGAACATATGAACTCAGATTATAGGTTCGGATCCTGATAGCTCCTGCTCTATGAAGCAGACGGGATTGAACCTCATTAGGAAATGACGAAGGTATATGACGGGGTGCTCGACATCATTTGATATTATCCACCATATGACCACAGTCAACAAGATTTACCGAAATAGAGCTATGTATTGATACCGTTTCACTTCTAGTCATCTAGTTTAAAGATAACATACTTAAATATTGTTTCTTCTTTGAGATACATATTTTTTGCAAAATACAATTACTATTCATGTTTGTTGATGAAAATAATAGTAATATACTTATAAGCATAGTCAGATTGACACAAATGGAGCAACAGTTAACCCATGAAAATAGAGATCACTTTTCTAACTAGTAATAGTGATGACAATATTGAATAATCATTCAATAATAAAATTTAATAATAAGTCCAAAATAACAGTGAAAATAGAATCGTCATGTCTATGGCAAACTTATTTCGTTTTTTATTTAAAACCTAGATATAAATTGGGAATTATGAGTATACTGCATATATTAACAGTATTTAGTATTCCGTTAACAGCATTTTACTCTGTTTAGTACTTATCAACTGGATGTACATGTATTTCAGTAATCATGTTTACATTACGACTCGAACTAAGTGTTATTACACTTTAAACACCAACTCGTTCTCCACATACCTAGTGAGTTCTGATAGGAGTGAATTTGATCAGCGGTTATGCAAAAATTAATATGGATTTAAGTATTCCCACAACTGATATTCAACCGTAATAGGACAGGCTGTTACCATTTGTGCATCTTGAATAAAACAGTGGCTATCTCGACTCAGTAGATAAGTGGATAGAATATTAGCGTTTGAAGCAATAAGGTATAAGGTCTGAGTCTTACTGTAAGCATTGATATTGAGGTACGCGTTTATCCCCTTGACACGTCCCGAATAGGATCAAATGTGGGTCCTAGACTACAATGCTAGTCAAATAAAAAAATACTGAAGCTTGTAACTAAAGGTTATGAAAAGGCAATTCACTCAGGACGCATATATGCTAACATGAACTGTTTAATTTTAGTTCACATTATACTTGAAGAGCCATAGAATATAACTCTTTCAATGACTTTTTACCTTCATCTGTATCCCTATGGAAGATTTTCTTGTCACACATAGCATAAAGCGATTTGCTCTAAGAACTAACGTCAGCTAAAAAATTTGAAATCAAGGAATAACTGGAGAGCTTTTTCATTCTATTTTGGCATTAATGAAAGTTACAAAATCAGAATCTCAGGATGAGTAAACTTCATGACATTCTTGAGTCAGGACTGACTAGTTGTCTTTAAATCATCGGATAGAAGTATGTTGAATATCAATTATTTTGTAATGTACCATAGCCTTTGTTCATTGTTTCAAATAGTGACCATCTTAATCCCAAAGTGGTTGTTAGGGGTTTAGGGAAACTATTTTACCTTGAAGTTTAAACCATGAACTGATCATTATCATACAAATATCAGGAAGTGATGGGCGGCTGTTTCTTTTTAGGTGTCGAATCTCAAGATCTTCAAATTAAGAAACCAATATCTAAACTTGACTCCACTGAGATTTAATGGTTTGCACTTCTAACTTCAGTTAAGTAGTAATACTACATAACCATCTCCCAATGTCACGGATGGTTTTTAATTAAATTGATGAAATCTCTGTTAACATTATTCGAAAATATCTGTCTTGATAAAATTCTACCGACTAGACTTTTCGATTACTGCACGGTTAAGTATTCGAATGAACCGTTTATGACTGTCATCATTAGTGATTAATTATTCTTCTGATTCACTCGATATTGTTTACTTAAATCTTCCCATTGGTGTTTAGGACTGCAACTGATCGGTCTCTTATTGACATATGTGCACACTCTGTGAATTGTCTCGATATTGCTTAATTCACAAGCATTATAAGCAAAGATGTGTGGTGGCTAGCAGTGGAATCCATAACGCGCGTTTCGTCTTATTTTGAGAATCGTCAGCTGAAATCAGTGGCTAAGTGGAGTTTGGAGCGAACGGGACTGAGTCCGAGTCTCAAAGTGAACATCAACTGTGGGACGCAGGTACATCCAGCTGACGAGTCCCAAATAGGAGGAAACGCACGTTCTGAATTCCATTGCTAGCCACCATCCATCTCTGCTTCTAATATT